GCAGTCAACACAGAGGCTTTCCAGCCATAATGAGGAAAATGCAGACACATGAGGGCAATTCAGGAGAAATTTCAAAAGAAGAGCTACAGCTGCTCCCCTGCTGACGCACCAAACCTGATGATAATACCTGAAAATTAGAGGCCCAGACTTGAGCTGTGTGTTTTCAGCCTTGCACAGATTTTGCTGTCATTTCTCCCACCTACTCCTCCCATTCAAAGCCAGTAGGAATCAGCTGGAGAATTTCCCTAGAAAGGTTGCTAACAGGTGATAAAATGACAGATAAAGTGCTGTAGACAGTTTCTTATCTACAGCAAGGCACGGTGGGGAAAACGTGGAAAGGGCACTGTCTTATGAGTCTGGGTTTTTAATTGTTTTCATCTTTGAATGTTCTTTCATTTTTCCTTCTTTCCTCCTGCTCCCAGAATGCAGAAAGGTCTTTCTTCTGACTCAACCTCCAGATCAAGTAGAAATATGTGTGTTACATTTTGCTATACATGCTGTATATACCTCTTAAAAGTAATTATTATTTTAAAATATTATTCATATTAATTATATGTTATATAATGTTACATAATACTATATAACAATATATTGTGTGCAATTAATAATATACCCTAGATTAATATCTATTAACTTTTCATTAAATACTCTCACTGGGAGTTTTTCTGTGTGCTCTTTGAGCTGAGAAACGCCCTGTCCAAAGCCCCTCAGTGCTATCCCACCTTGCTGGTTTAGCAGTAAAAGGCAGGTCAGTTCAGGAAGTGCAGTAGTTCCTCCACTGGACCCAGCAGAAGGGAGTGAGAACAGTAAATAACCACCAAAATGCTTATTTCTTTCTTTAATGAAATGTTGACATGTTTGGACATTGAAGCCTAAATTCATCTGCAAACATTGCCAGTATTTACTGCAGCAGAAACAACCTTTCCCACATGACTAAGAAAACACCATAAACAGAAAATTACTCTGAGTCCCCTTCCTCTTGTTCATCGGCCTGACCTCAAGCAAGTGTGAAATACTTTAAAAAATCAGTGCAGTGAAGACTAAGAGGATGCAATACACTACTGGGTGAGTGAACATGTCAGAAAATAAGAATTAAAAGTTCCTTTACTATGGGCCTTAAACAGCCAGTCAGCATTCCCTGCAGAAAAAAGATGGATACCCCTCAATCTACTCTGAGCTACTTGCTTGTCTTAATCTACAGAGAACAGCTTCATCAGAGTGGTTTCAGTACATATGAATTTACAGCATTCTCTATCTATATGGATACTAAACCAAACTTATTTAGTGTTAGGCTAATTATTTATTATCAGCTCAGCTCCAGGAATGCTGTGGGAGAAGGTAACATGTGGCTGGAGGATTTGTGCCAAGCATGTCCATGAAAACCTCGAATCCTGCCAAAGAAGCACCTTCTTGAGTGCCCCTGGTAACCCATTCTTTCAGCCCTTGCTGTAGATCCCTGCTGTAGTCATGATTTGACTAAAATGAGGCAGAACTGGAACTTTTCACTGCTCTTTCACAGGGTACCTGAGGTGTCTGCACACCTTTCGCTCTTTTGGGGTGATCAGAATATTGAAAGAGCAACATGATCAGTCTGTAACTATTGATCTCCCAAAATGCTGGGCTGGGAATTGTGGATAGCAACGACAGGAGATGGAGGGTGCATCTTCCTATGTCTTCATCCCTTTCCATAGTGGTGGATCTAGGGAAGGACTCAGAGCCCTCCCCCCTGCAGCAGCTCCTTTGGCAGTGAGAACACCCACCCATACGCTTCCAGATGCACCAATTCTGGTGCTTTTTTGGGGAGTTTCAGGAGCTGAGAGGCATCGAGTCAGGGCTCAGGAAGCTGCCATCCATTGGGAGGCATGGTCTGTGGGAGGTGGCACTGGCAATTTAGCAGCTGGCACAGAGCACTCTCCGAGTTGTTCAACCAAAGCTCCAGCTGTGAGAAGCAGCCACGGCGCTGGAGGTGTCCTTATTGTTTGTGAAATCATTGTTAATTAAGGTGAGATCTCACTGTGCTGGTGCTCAGCCAACACAGGGAGAAATGGACCTTTCCCTGACAAGTTTATCCTTCAAACAGCCTACACGAGCAAGGCATAAAGGGTGATTCAAAACGTAAAAGGTGTATTTTATTGTTTCTGAAAGCTTTATTTCCACAGGCCCCCCACTGCAGTCCCTCTGATTAGCTGTTTAATCTCATGAGCAACACAACTATGATCAATGTGCCTTTCCCTCTGTTTTACCCAAACCATGGTGACACAGGCATTGACTGGCTGAGAGATGCTCCACCAGCACCAGATCAGCTTCCAGCAGCTGCCTTTCAAACCTGTGCCCTTCTTCTTCTCCCAGGGGAAATGGCTGCCCACAGCTCAGACTTCTGGGTCACGAGGGAGTTCTGCCTGGCTGGAGCATGGTAGGACTCAACCCAAATCCTTTAGATTCCCTCCTTTGATTTCTGGTGCTTTACTTTTTTCTTTCTTCACAGATATGTTCAGTTTGACCTAACTCTTCCACTGGCCATTCTGTAAACCAGATTATGTGGGCAATGTAACCTTGTTTTCAAGGAGTGAACTCTAGCAGTGGTCCTGGGGGTGACATACTGTGGAAATTAATTATTAACTCTGGTTGTCATTGGGCAGTATCGTATGCACCCAGCTATAGAAGCATAAAATACCTGTAAAACTACAAATAAAACTTCTCATTTGATGTTTGAAACCTGATTACTCTGAAGTCCATGGTGAAAGTGTCCCAGGGCACTGACCAGCACTGAGGTCTGGCTCTGAGCCCCTTACACAGAGATCACCAATCTCTCTGAGACCAGCAGCTAGAAACCAAATGCTCACCCTGCCAGGATCTCTCTTCAAGGAGATTGTTACCCTTTGTGTTGAATTTCTGTGGAAGTCTAAGGAAATATGGTTGATCTCAGGGATCAGGAAAATTTTGAGTTATCTTCTGAAGCAGCAGCACCAGAGTCAAACAAGTTTTTCTCTCCATCCTCCTGGTTCCCTGCTTTGACTTCACACACTGCGATGCCACGTGCTGCACAGAAATCCAAAAGAAGACTGGAGCACTTATCCACGAGTGTGTGCACCTGTACAGATATAATTTACCCAGAGAGGCAAATATTGCCCAGTGGAGAAAGCTGTAGTAAAAACGGTGCATGACAAGTGCTGTTCCCAGTGTTTACTGCATCCTGCATCACCACTTGGACTCCGTGGCAGTAGATCAGCTCTATTAATCACACACATTCCTATAATAATCACCAAAATAAGTAAAAGCACCTTTGCTTAAAAGAAACCCAGGCCTAGACTGCTCTTTATAAACATTCTTAGACACAAATTATGTTCTTGACTGAAAATTTGGCCCTACCATGTTTTGCTCCCGACTTCAATGGGAGGCAGCACTGCGTGTGCTCTACGCCTCTGAAAGGCAGAGCTTTCAAGGTTAATTGACATCCAATTTATGCACCTCAGCAATCATATCTAGTGATCAACACGGCACAGGAGTAGTAAAGTTTTATTTGCAATTTCAGCTGGAAAGCTCAAAGCTATCAAGTACAACAAATTATGTTTAGTATCTTAACGTAACTACCCAATAATCCAGAATTCCCAGACCAAGCCTATCAGCAACAGTATTTTCCACTGTGGGCAATGTACACTATGATTATGTACTTGGCTTGGTGCTGTTGTTGTTTCTCACCTCTTTTTATCTTTTCCAAGCTGTTGGCTATGAGATACCTACAAATACAGAGTTTTTGAACTCTATTGGATTTCTTCACTTAACAAATGAGATCATGGCTGTACCATAAATACTTGCAGACCACAAAGGAAGAAACAGAATATTAACACTTTTCATCCTGCTCTTGAATCTCATCCTGCAGCGTGTCTTGTTGCATTGTCAGAAATATCTCAGCTTTGGCAGCTGAGCTCTGAGAGCCTGGCTACCTCCAAGTGAAGGAACACATAATTCGGTGTGGTGTGAGAGCACCTGTGACATCCAGACTGACTTGACAAGCAAATGGCTAAAAAATTAGCTATTCCTCTGATCATGGGTCTATTTGTGTTACAGAGGTAAATCAGGCTGTGGTATTTACATGCCCAGCACAAGTAATGCAGTAAGAGGCACTGTTCCACCAACCTACAACCTGCAGATGACAAACCTTATTATGTTATGGCTGTAAAACTGACACCAATTGTATACAATTACTGAACATATATGTAACAGCTTCAAAATGTGGACTCACATCCCTGGCCCTTTCTTAAATCCAGAGGAATTATCTAGCTCTATATCAATTTTAGCCTCTTTTAGCATAGCCTCAGAATTATATTTGGCATCTCTATCTGGCACATACAAAAACTGCCAGCAACAGTAACCATTTCTGCATTGAGGTCACCGAGCATCTCCACTGCTGTGAGAAGTCTGGAGAGCACAGGACGCTGCCCGAGTCAAAAAGTCCAAGGGAATGGGAAAAATATAACCCAGAAATTGTCGGAGCTTTTGGCTGCATTTGAGATTTTAGCTCAGATCTCAGCGGAGCTTGCCCTCTCCTAACCCCTCCTCATCTTCCCCTCCTCCCCACAACATATACACACAAGAATCACTAGAATTGATCCTCCGGTTTAACAAAAGCCTCTGCCCGTCCCTTTCTCTGCAAGGAACAAGACCTAACCCAACTATCCCGTCCCACAGGAGATGCGCCAGGCAGGCAGCCCTCGGGCGGCGGTCTGCTCTGCGAAAGGCGCAGAACCCGAGCATCCCCTGCGCGCAGCGAAGCCTCTGTTCCGCGAGCGCTAAAAGGGATGCGGCAGACAAAGAGAAGCGCCCGGCGCCCCCCGCTCCCGGCGGCGCCGGGCACCGGGCACGCTGCTCCCCCTTCTCGCCGCGTCCCCGCGGAGCGCAGCGCGGCCGCGGCGGCTGAGGCTGCTCGGCGCGGGGCAGCCCCGCGGAGCTCCGCGGCCAGGGCGGCGACGGCCCCGCGCAACTCCCGCGGCGCTGCTTACCCGGCTCGGCGCGGGCGCTGGGCAGGACGGCCGCGATGAGGGCCAGCAGCAGCAGCAGCAGCAGGGCGGCCGCGGCCGGGCCCGCTCCGCCGCCCGCGGGCCGGGCCGGGCGCGGGGCCGCGGGGCCGGGCGCTGCCTCGGGCCCCGCGGGGCGCGCCCCGCTCCGCCCGCCCGCCGCCCGCCGCATCCCCGCGCCTCGCACGGCCCCGCTCAGCGGGCAGCGCTGCCCATCGCCGGCCGGGCTCTGGAGCGGCGGCTCCGCAGGCGGGCGGCGGCGGAGGGGGCGGAGCGGGGGCCCCGCATGCCGCCCGCGGCTCTGCCCGCACGCCGCGGGACGCGGGGCCGGGGCTGCTCGGCCCCTCGGGCTCCGGCGCCGCCGAACGCAGCTGCACCCACAAAGGGCTCTGGGCGCCACCCGCGCCGGCCCCGCTCCCCGCCCTCCGAGCGCGGGGAGGCGGGAGCGGGGGCGGCGCTGCCGGGGCCGCGGGGACCCCTCCGCCGCCCCCCGCGCTCCGCGGGGCCGGGCGGGAGCGGCCGCGGGGGCGGCGGGCTCGGTCCCCGCCCGCCGGGACAGCGGCTCCGGGGACGTGTCACCGCCCCCGTGCTCCGGAGCCCGGCACTACCTCGGGCTGTAAACGGAGGTGCGCCCGCTCGCAGCGGTGCTGCGACAAGGCGAGGCTGGAAGTCCCTCTCTGTATTCCGAGCTGGGAGTCGCCGACCCGGGACATCTCCAAAGATGTCCCTCGTTATCCCAGGGACCAGCCGGCACCTCCTCCCGGCAAAGCAGCCCGAGCCCTGCCACAGCGCCGAGCACCGCCGGCAGCATTTCTGCAAGCGCAAGAGCAGCTCTGAGAATAAAGGAGCTCGAGTGTACCGCAGGAGGTGACCAAAGCGGCAGCTACATCCTCAGCCACCCGCTGTGCTAACACAGCAGAGGTTTTCTCTGGTCACCTCTCTCCTGTGCTCGCTCCATCACTCCCTCCCTGGCTGGGATGGGGCTCAGACATCCAGACTCAAAGGGAAGCTCCAAGACAGAGGATTCTCTCTGTTTTGCTTTAAGGTACACCGGGAGATCAACACGCAGCGCACAAGACGTGTTCTGGACAGCAGAGGGGTCAGCCCCAGCTGCTGCCTGGGTCACGGTCACACCCAGCACTGGGATAGTCCATTTAGTGTTTTCTCCGTGTCCTGTCTGCATCAGAAGCAGCGTAAATTCTTTATTCTGGTATCGTCTCTTTCCTGAACTGCATCCATGAATTCTTTCAGTCCCAGACCATGCCTGCGGGCAACAGGCAGTGATGGTGGGAGGAGGAGCAGTGCAAAGGTGGGTTTGGAGCACAACACGCTCCTGGACCCCGAGAGCTGATCCTGAAAGGCTGCAGCGTAGCTTACATGCAGGAAAGCTGTCCCAGCCTCCCAGAAATTCTGCTCTGATGAAAGTTGTCGTGCTGAGAAATTCTTAGAAGTCAGGTTTGAGGTGGAGCAAGCCTCAGCATGGGCCAGCCACAGCCTGACACCCTGGTACTCAGCTGCTGGCAGCATCCAGAGCCCTGACAACCCATAATTACAGATTTATCCGACTGCTTCAGCACGCTCCTGGTGTCACCAACGCAATTATGCTGTCCCATTTCCACCGTTTTACTTTTCCCCCAAATCACTAATTCATTCCGTGCAAAATTAGCTTCCCCTTGATGAGTGCTAGCGATTAGCCAGAGCAAAGATGGCAGTTTATGATTATTATTATAGTGAAATGGAGCTTGCTTATCACTCTGCTTAATCCAGGGCCAGCACGTTTAGTGCGGGGCCCTCTGCTGGCACCTTCAGGGAGCCCCGCACAAACCTCATTTCATCATTTTCCTATTTTTCTGGGTTTTGACATAACTCGACTTTGTAATAGAGCCATCAATAAGTTAATTTGGACTGCACTTTTTTCAGTCTAGCTCTTAAGTATTATGGTTTTCTCTTAATTTTCCATTACAGTGTGTGTGTGTGCATGTATTATGTAGAAAATTCAAGCAGCAGATTGATTTGTTATTTCAAAAGATTTTAAAAACGAGTATTTTCCAGAATGAAGAATGGATCTTTTACAGCTACTGAAAAATCACTGGGGTCTTACCAAACGAATGTAGTTAGCTACATCCTAAACTTAACTTTTCTAATCCTGTTTGGGTTGGGTTGTTTTTTGGTTTTTTTTCCAGATCCAAAACTGCTTTGCTCACAGTAGACCTACTGCAAGCACCCCGAGTCTTCTTTTTATGAGGGAACCCATAAGATGTGGATTTAATTCATGGATGAGAAGTGACTGTGGCCAGGCAGTGACTTCTGTGTGAAGCTGGTGACAGATCATGGTACTTCTTTGCAGCAGAACAGTTGGCATTTTTCCTTTTCATGAAAATCTCACTCCCCAAACACAACCACAGAATGGAGTCCAGCCTCCAGGCACCTCTGCCACCAGGCTGTAGGTGCTCCCAACCTGCCATTTCAGGGTCTAAGGAGAAGAATCCATCCAAACGTGTATTTGCATAAAGCTTCATCAGCATAAAGCTTCATCACTCTAACAAAGAAAACTCAGTGCTGTTCCCCAGGACAATGGCAGGTAGAATTATTTGAACTCACTTAGAGGAGAGACCCATCCCTCCTGAGAGAGAAAATGCAACTTCCTTCCTACAGGTGGAAGGCAGGAAGATATAATTAACATTAATCACCGTCAAACCTTACCCATGACTTAATAAGCCTTCCTGCACAGCAGGACAGTCACAGTCACAGTGTGGGGAGAGGCAGGAGGGGCTGCAGCCTTTCCCTGCAGAACTGCAGCATGTGACAGCCCCATTGATTCTGGAAGCTTTTCCTTGAATGAATTTGCCATCTTAATTGTACTACCAACCTGCACTTTGCATTTAGTGACAGGGAAAATACCAAATTTTAAACTACTGTTTGTCATCCTAAAGACAATTAAAGAGGAAGGTGACTTACAAGTAACTGCCTGTCCAGGGGATGGGAAAAAACATAGGGGACGGTTGTACATCATTCCTAACAGAAAGCAAGAACAGAAAGGACTTCACAGGCAGAGTATTCACTTTGAGAGGCTCAGGCTGCCTTTCCTTGCTTCTTAGATGTTGCCAGAAGTGAGAGTGTGAAATGCACCGAGCCAGTGGCCCTATTTGCTATGGGAAAAGTGGGATCTAGATACCAATATGCATTTAGAAGTCAACAATACACAAAGCTAGCTGTAAAGAAGGGAAAGGAAGGAGCTTTCGAAGCCACAGGTGCCTGCAGAATTTGGACAGAGGTGTTTACACATCACCTGAGGCACAGAGCTGCAGGAAAAGCTTTGCAGACACTGTGACCAATAGCACAGCAACAGATCCCCATCAGCAGGATCTGATCCTTATCAGACTTTACCAGGATCTGATCCTTACATTTAGCAATTTAAAGCTTTCTGTCACTCGGAAATATTGTGGTATCAAAAATTTACTGCACTGTCATTTCAGTCTTTTAGATTTCTTTGCAGACTGACCCTAAAACGTAGTGCTAGGCACAGAAACCACCCCCCCACCAACACCTGTGTGCACCCAACCAGCAGGTTTAGTCAGCACTGCAACCCCACGGCAGAGTGAGCACATTTGGCTGACAAGAGCACGGCCAAATGTGCCTTCCACGGATGCCTGGTCCATAGCAGGTGGCCATCTGGTGCCACTGACCATGTGGGGCCATCTGTGGCAAGCAGCAGCACCTTCCTGCTGGCCAGGCTGCAGTTGCCAGCAGCTTGGCACAAAGCTCAGCAGCAGCGAGGTGTCTGCTGCTGTCTGGGCCAGATCACCTTCCTCTGAGGTTGTAAAAGTGGGACATCCAGAACAAAGCGCCTTCAAGCTGTGGCTGCACTAAAGATGGCTTCTCAAGACCCTCTGAAGCAAGCCTTGAAAGCTAGCAAAATTTAAAATTTCAGAAAGAAGCTCACTTGAATGATTACATCAGAATTTAGAGCCCGCTCAGTGAATTTTCACCTCTTTTCCTTCATGTAACACAGCAAAAAATAAAAGCCACCAGAAGTCATCTGCTGCAATATATATTTTAATTCAAAGTGAATCTTGACAGTAATACACCATAAATTCTTATTTTGACACTCACCAAAATAGTCACCTGGAAAACCCGCTTTTTGTGACAAAGTACAGAAGGCTTGGTCACATTTAAATCACTGAGAACTAGAAAGAAATACTATCGCAAACTGTAAGAGACATTACATCCATAAAAAATTTTCCCAGTCCTCATATTGTAATATTGCACAGTGCAATTGCTACATGGCGAACTAGTGTAGCAGAGAAATCCAAAGCAAAAAAAAGCCACAAGTCTACAAATTGTTAAACAGTAACAGTTCAACCTTATTCATCAAGTCTCTATCACTGGGTGTTTCTAGAACAAGTCTTCCTACAGCTTGCAGTGTGATTTAACTTTTACTTAACACAAACCACGTTAATTAGCAGTAAAAACAGAAAATTTAAAAATTAAAACGAAACAAAAAAAGGAGTTAATACAGTAGCATATTTGACCAATAAAACACCCTGAAGTTAAAAACTGAACACAAGAAATTCATATAAAACCTTGCAAATTAAAGTAATATGCAGATATGCAATTCCATAGTCATGCAGTGTTTTATTTAAAAAAGGCATTAAAACGGTATTGTGTAAAAATGCTTCTCAGAGGATGACTTTTTTCACAGAAAAGGCCCTCGCCCTGAAAGCTTTTTCTTCTGCAGATGGGCTCCAGACACTTGCAGGGACAAGAGTCTGTTCTCTCAGAGTATATCGCGGGAGGAGTGGGGAAAGTCACCTGGTGTGTTGAATTTAACCTGTGACAGGATCCCAAATATTTCATTCTTTGAAATGCAGACATTTCTAAGATTACAATACAAAGAAAGAGCAGCAGATCTAATTTGGGGCACATTTCCAGCAACCCTTCCCTGCATAGGGCAGGGTACTGTGGTGATACACAGAGAACCGTGCCAATTGAACAAGCACGTCAGCTCCAAACCTTAAGCACAGGAAAAGGAAAGTACAGAAAATACAACAGACCCATGATGATCCCCATGGCCCCAGGAGAAAAAAAACAAAAACAAAAAAACAACAAAAAAAAAAGGTGTTTTTTGTTGTTTTTTTGGTTGTTTTGTTGTTGTTGTTGTTGTTACCACAATACAAAAATTGATGTGTTCTGTTTGCATTGGTGGTTCTTGGTGTGTCCATTGCCTGCAATGGAGTGAGCACCAAAAAAAGGGAGTGAACAGAAAACAGCACGAGTTTGAAGTGGTAAAGGTGGACATCCAATTTGACTCCCCATGTTTAGGCTTTACATGCGTGTTGGTAAGATTTCAAATTCATCAGGATACTCCTAGTTGCTAATGTATACTTTATATACACACACATTTGTACAAAATGCATAGATTACTAAAAACATTGAAACTTTTGGGAAAAGTTAGGTTTCTTCATTTTCAGTGTGATTAAAAATGTACTGCTGGTATTTTCTTTTTTTTTTTTATGTTCTAATACTGTTGTATTTTAGTTATTACTTAAAAAATAAAACAAATGCAGGCACATTTATTTCATTCAGACATTCATTAAATAAAACACTGCTTGTGTTAGTGGAGTAAAGAAAAAGATTACCAGTTATTAGCTTATTGACAGAGTTAAAACTCAAATGCTTTGCACTCTTATTCCAGTCAACATTGCAAGGATTGTATTCCAGATTTTGATTTTAAAAAAGTTAAGTCAAGCCTGCAAGATGCAGCTTCTTAAGTGTCTACACAATGCCAATATGAAAACATAAAAAAATTAAGTTACATTAATACATCCACTTATATGCAGTGATGAGCTCAAAGTTAATGGAGATAAAATACTGATGCAAATAACACACCCCAAAAAAACATACGCAATCATCTTCCATCATTTACAGTATAGTAGTTACGACACTTCAAACATGAAAACAAAATAAAAATTAAAAAAAAAAAAAACCAAACCCAAAACCCAGCTTCTATTTCATGTAATTAGACTTGTACAGAAATTAGAAGGCTAAGAAAGAACTAGTTAATCACCTAATTTCACAGCTATCTGAAGTGGCAATCATTATATAGCAGCTTATCTATGATACATTCAAGATAAATGATACAATTTATTACTTGCCCATAAGCTAAAACACAGCCTCAGCTTAATACCTTCCATAAATCCCATCTCTACACTACAGTATACTTGAGGTCTATGAAAAAGTAGCTACCTTTTATAGGAAATGGATGATTAAGTCTTTGGTGCTGCAAAAGCAACTTCATTTGAACAAAACAAAAAAACGAAAAGACACACTTCCTAAGGAGAAAATAATAATAATAATAATAATAATAATAATAATGCAAAAAGCATGTAATTTACGTCCCTGACGGAATGTATTAAATAAGCAAACACCCACAACAGGCTAAAACAAATACTATTCATGTAAAAAGACTAAAATCTCTCCCATGCATAAATGAAAGATTGCACACAAAGAACTCACATCTTTTTCAAGCTTCAACAGTTAATATTCTGCTACTAGTTATTAAATACTGCATGGTTTGCTCAAGCTAAGATGAAACCATATCATGGATCAATGAGCACTTGGCTTCTCCTTTCATTAGCTAGTCAGTCATGCCTACCTCACCTCTAAACATTTTATTATATCCAATTAGACAAACACTTTTAAATAAACTACTTGGGTCGTATTGCAGTTCCATTTACCAGTATGAAATACTGTCTCGCGTGTCACTACTCAATAGCTACTGAATCAACTTTCCTTAAGCACTACTAAAGTCCTGTCTTGAAGCTAGATCATTCTGGGGGGGAAAAAAAAAGACAGCAAAACTCAGCTACAGCAAAACATGCTGCCTTTTCAATCAGGAAAATACACCCAAATACTAAAATAATACCACACAAAACCCAAAATGAGCATTACACTATCAAAAAATCAGCAGATCTGAATTTTTAAGTGCTGCAGTCCTCAACATTTATATATAAGTAATAACATTAACAACCTCAAATATTTAAGGCACTATGTGTGGGAACAGTTTACAATGCAGCTGAGATTATTAGGACAACAACATTTAAGAGCAATGTTTAGGCCTTTTCTTTGCCCATGCAAAAGACACATGCAATGTGAAGAACAACAGCTCAACTTTTAGATAAGTGACTCAACATTTAAACACCGAGATACGCAACACAAACGAGTTACTCCTACACCGTACTGCCGACACATGTGCATCTGTTGCTCTAGTTCTGTACACTGAATGGCTTCCCAAATGTAGACGTGTCTTGCACTAGTTAGAAGGCAATTTTATAAAAAATAGCAGGAGCAAAACCAGATTTCTGCTCCCATAAGTCACCTGTCTAAAGTTACTATATAAGAAGATAACATGACCAAAGACAAGTTATACCAAATGTGCAAAACACATTAAAAGTGAGTTTTTTTTTTTAAAGCTCAGAGTTGTTTAAATTGCACCCAAGTCTACACGATTCAAAAAAATAATTTTCCTGTTGTGCCATGGCTAATACGTAACAAACACCATGTTTCTCCTCGGAGCGAGCTCCCGCGCCATGTCCCGGCGCAGCGAGCCCTCACATGAAGGGGTACTGGCTGAGTTTGGTGGGGCTCAGCGGGAAGCCCGCGTAGGCAGCGGGCGAGGCGGCGACGTACGGGTGGGGCGGGAAGAGGGCTTTGTACTGAGTCTGGTGCACCGAGGGGGAAGGCAGCAGGCGGGGGTCGATGCCCACGGGCAGCTGGCGCACGACGCCGCCGGCGTGGCCCAGGCCGAAGGCCGGGCGCTGCAGCAGAGCTCTGGAGGCGCAGGGTGAGGCCAGCAGGTGCGGCACGGGCGGCGCCGGCGAGGCGAAGGGCAGGATGGCGGGCTGCCCGCCCAGCTGCGAGCCCCCCGGCAGGTGGCTGGGGCTGCCCTGCGGCAGGGAGAACGCGGGGCCCGGGAGGAAAGGCTGCTGCTGATGCTGCTGCTGATGCTGATGCTGCTGATGCTGATGATGCTGATGCTGCTGCCTGCGCGGGGCGAAGTTCCCGTTCCACTCCAAGTGCTGAACCTGGCCACACACACACAGAGAAACGGGCAGGGCTTAGCGATCCCCCGAGCAAAGAGAGCGGGGAAAAATGGAGGAGAATGCACTAAAACTAGTCAACTTAAAATCGGGAGGAATATAGAGACAGGGATTGTTAAATGCTTCGACAGAACAAAAAAAGAGATACATTAGCTATTTAGGTAGCAGCACAGACAATAAGAGATGGAAAACGGAACACAAGTTATTTTAATGCTCTTGCAAAGGGGGGAAAAAAAAAGGATAAAATGCCATGCTGGGCTGTTTTAACAGAAATACCATGTATCACATGAGCAAGGTGCTTATTCCACTCTACTCAGCACTGGCTTGGCATCAATTGGAAGTGCTGCATTCAGTTTGGGCACCATAATGAGGCACAAAGAGGACAAATAGGAGAGAAATTTTAGAGGAGAGCAGAAAAAATAATAAACGGATTGAAAAATATCTGAGACAACTAGGCAAACAGAAGTCTAGGTCTATGATCACAGGAAGATGTGGCAATCATTAACAGTTATAAAGAGCAAAGACTAAAAATCAATTATTCCCATTAAATGATGCAGACTTCAAACTACACAGGGCATCTACCAAGGAAGGATCAGCATAAATTTTTGTAATGAAAATAACATTCTACGCTTTCTGCCAAGAGGCTGAGGAGCTGCAGACACTGAAGAGATTAAAAATTAATACCATGCTGATCACATTAAGGTTTGCTTAGAATTAATTAAACCAATCCTTTTGCATAATCATGCAGAAAGGGAGACTGTGTCACCCACCCAAATGTTTCTTTCAATCTAAACCATTCAACTCATTATTGCTAAATCCTCTTATCTACATATAGCATGCTTTCATTTAGCATTTAGCTGACAATATTCACAGTTTCTCTGTAAGACTTACACAAACAGGTACTGCTGTAACATTAATGCACCTCCAGCTGTCTAACCAGAAGCTCATTGCAGCTACAGCTCCAAGATTAATTAATTAAAAGGGACTTAAGCTTGATGTCATGTGTCAACGTCAGTCCTCAGCCACAGCAGACACATTTGCTGTGTTGTTGGACAATGATAAAAGTAACTTTTAAATTAGCTTTAGGTATCTTCTAACATTGGATGGAACTACAATCACAGTCTCATCTCCCCTCTAGCTTCATTACCTGGCAGTAAAGGTAAGAAACAGTTTAAATAGTTGGATTTGCTGAGCTCTGTCTCACCTCTGGCTACTCAAACTAAAAGATTTTCATGCACACTACTGACAGAACAACACTGAGATACAGCTGCAGATTTTAACTGCACACTATGAGTATTTTAGCATTTGGATGTAGGAATAATAAATGCTAACATATTTTTCTTTTTGTCTTGTGTTTTGATATTGTGCAAGCATTGACAATTTTCCCAGTGTGGCTTTTCTGTTATTTTTTTTAAATAGAGTCAGCTGCTTTACGAAAATGACCCAAAATGAAAGACACTTACGACTTAGTAAGTCGAAATCTGTTTTTCAATATTTGAACACTTCTTCAATCAAGCTGCTGAAAACCTGCAGCTGCCACAGACAGCAACTGAAACTCTGAGCATTCAGTTTGGAACTGAACTTCTCCAACTCCGCGTTTGGAGCTTGTTGGAGGTGAGTGCACGTACCTGACTGAAGTTTCCATGGTGCTGATGGAATGCTGATGTCAGTTTCTGCTGACGGCTCCCCACCACAGAAGATTGGTTTATTCTCCCCAGGACAGACCGACCCTTTCTCAGGGGCTGGCACGGAGCATCTTCCAAGAAAGAAATAAACAAAGTTAACGCTTTTGTTGTCACTATTCTCTTCTGGCAAAAGTTAGACAAGGCTTCATTTGCTTAAGCATGCAGGGAGAAATAATAATACAATACACCAATTAAAATCAAACCCTAGCACTGTTTAGGAGTGGTTACTACAGATTAGCAGTTGTATGAGTAGGTCAAAATCTTCATGCATATATATTGAATAAATACTGAAACTTCTATTCTCATCTACTGGCATAGAAAAACACCTGAACTAACTTACCTGTATTCACCATCTGTTCCTCAAGATGTAATCTGTTTTCAAGTCTCATGGGTGGTACCACTACTGTGCAAACAGTTGATTTGGTTTCAGGGTTAACTGAGGCTCTTGCTTCCTTATTTTTATTGTTATTGTCTACAAAGCCATTTTCCACAAAGGGGCTGTCGTGTCCTGAGGAGTCTGAGCTTGGGGAACCATCCACTGTATCACATCCACTTTCCTGTTCGTCATCTGACATACTGTCAAAAAATAAAAGGATTGCAATGAAGCAAAGAGATTTTTATGATAGAAGTATATTTTATTAAATGAACACATTAAATTTATAGAAGTGAAATTACATAGTGGATAAAAATGATTGCAATTAGATAAGCACATATATTCAAATTCATCCTACCCATAAATTGCAAGGCTCAAAGAAAAGAGATAGCTTCTTAATATTTAAAATTGATGGAATACATGCTTAACTTAAAACATACAAGAAACAGCAGTGAGTTTACTAATGCCTGAAGTTATGGTCAAGTCCTTTAGTGATTTTACAGCTCATGTAACATGTCCTTTATTGCATGTTGTTTAAAATAGGACAATACAAATAAAACTACTTACGAAAATTAACTTTTTTGTGAAAAGTACTTTGACACTATGAGGGCCAGCACAAAAGTCTGCAGATTTAACCAACAGAATTGGGTAATTCTGAGTAGGTTTTTCAAGTAACAAACAGTAATAATGTGACAACTACTGAGCAATTAATTGTACTTCTGTATTATTAACTTTTGATTCAAGTTGCTAATTATATGACTTTATATAAGTAGAATGCTACTGAAACCAGAATCCAGCACACTCCTCTGCTATTGACAGAGTGGAATTACCAACGGGAATCAAACTAGGGGTCCACTTCTTACAATTCAAAGAAAATATAAAATCAAGTAGGTCTTTATAAAAATTTATCTGAATTTTTGAGTGTTTCGATATTACAGAATATCAAAGGACTGACAATGTTAACTACCAACCAGTAAGACTGATGCAGACTGACAAGTCTGATGCAGACCCAATGTTCCACCTCCTTGCCAATACATGCTCTGATAGAATCTTTAATTATTTTAAACAAATAATTTTTTTCCGTTATGACCTTAATTAGAATTCATTTTGCACAAAGAAACAGCTGAAGGCTCAAGCTAGACATGAGGCAGTGAAGATAAAAACATTTAAAAGCTGTTCACAGCAACAGTTTTCATCTAAGTGAGCCTTACATTTAACAGAAGAAAAAAGGCATCAATGTCATTACAGATTACAAGATACACAATGGGAAAACTAAAGGCTGAGAAAATTTAAAAATACGTGGTAACCAAATCTGCCACATACTACTTAGGCTTATTTAATCTTGCAACTCGAGATTTTTATTCCAAAGAAGCTGCATGCAACGTGTTTATATTTTCTGTGTGAGCACCATTCATTCAGTATTCTGAAAGCTTCCACTGCAGCAAGACAGATCTGTTAGGAACGAGAACAGAGCAGTCTGTGCTGTGCAACTGTAGGCCAGTAAATCAATTTTTAAACAGATCATTTACCCTCACCAGCTGGCAACGTAACAAAACTTGTGCATTTTTTAGTATCAATGGGGCCTGCTGTATACTAATATCTTGCTTTTTGCTGCAAGAGCCTGAGTTTTCACCTGCTGGATCTCTTGCAAGGAGAGGGGCTGGACTGCTCCGAGGAGCTGGTGCTGAGCGTGCTGTCGGGGCTGCTCAGGGAGCACACACGGTCAATGTTCAGGGTGTTCTGGCAGGCCTCACACTCCAGGCTCCCTTTACACCTGCACACAAAAACACAGTCAGCAAACACACCATTCACCACTCATCTCGGTACAACTGTGGGATAAAAAAGGGTCCCTTATTACAAAACGCCCCTTAAATGTAAATTAACATCCAATTCCTTGCTTCTTTTACATCCAAACCAGGTTTTAAACCTTTATGGTTTTCTTTTTTGAAACCTACTAAATGGATTTTTTTTTTTTACTGAATCAATACTAAAACAAGTAGATTAAAGTGTTCTACTACAGCAGTTCAGAGCCTTGAAACTTTTGACAAAGCTTAGATTTAAAATACATGCTACTCCAGCTCAGAACTATTACAAGTAAAAATGAAGTCCAAACATTAAATTTTTAAGTCTTGCATGCATCAGTGATGGCTGTGTGAAAGAAAACTCCACTGGGGGACAACACCCAGCACCTGCTTTTGCACCCAAAGGTTCACCTTTTCACACTGTTAGAGAAGCATTTTCTACCCACAGGTATGTAACAGCATCTACTGAATGCTACTGCTAGAATGGTGACATTGAATAAACACAGCAATAATATTGTTCTTCAACAAATAAAAAGGGCATGACATTATTTTAAAAACCCTAAAAACCCTGTGATTTCAAAAGGCATAACACAGACAGATTGATGAGGTAGATTTTTGACAGTGCTGCTCCCTTTCAATAACAGAGTGCTACAGAGTTAACTTCCAGCTGAAATTTGATTAGGAGCACAATGTTTGTCGTTTTTAAACTCAGATTCATTAACTGTGCTGATGCCTAGAGAGGCTACCTGGAACAGAGGCTAGAAGGAGTTAAAGAATAAGGTAGGGATTTATTGAAAGGCCTTCACAGGATCCACCTTGGGCAGTACAAGAGCCTGGCCAGGGCTACACCCAAGATGGACCCAGCATGGATGACTGGTCATGAGTTTTCCCATTTTTGTAAGTTTTGGTCCATTTCCATATTGGGGTTAATTGTCCAATTACTGCTTCAGGTTATGAAGTCACATCCTCTCAATCTGCTCTCCTCAATTCACTGCTGTTTACACTTTTTGGGCCTGAAGTGGCAATGGTGTCCTTGGGCTGGAAAAGGATTGTTCTGTCTGACTAGACTGCGAAGAGAACTTGCTAACACTCCATATGAAGTTCAGAGTTACACATTAAAGCAGTCCAAAATCTGGAAAATATGAAATCTAAACCTGAAGGCATCGGTGCTAATGATGCCTTGGGAAGGCTGGCCTAGAGCAGAGGCTGGACAGAGCTAAATAATAAAGCAGGGATTGATTAAAAGGATCTCCTCCATGGATCCACCTTGGGCAGCACCAGAGCCCAGCCAGGGCTGCACCCAAGATGAACCAAAATGGTCCCAAAATGCAGGAGCGCTCCCGGGGGCTCTCCCTGGGATCAGTTCTGCTCCATTGGCACCTTGGAGTTCATTGTCCCATTCCAGCTCCAGCCCAGGCAGTCCCATCCTGCTTGTTTTTCTCTCTTGGGTTGAGATTGGATCATTTGTCCTTGGTCCCCAGCTGAAGAAGGAATTGTTTTGTGTCCCTGCTCTGTGCAGAGAGCTCAGCATCCCCTCATGTGACACCAAACCCACCCACTAAAGCAGCACAGAAACTGAGAAACAGAAAAGCTGAAACCTGAGGCATCACTAAGCCAGCTGTATTTAAGTAAAGCCCAACAAGAACCAAGGCAGATGCTCACTCCCTCAGCGAGTGTGTCCGTGCCACGTCGTCCTCGTCGGTGTCACTGCTGATGGTGATGACGCTGACGGCGGGGCTGGGGGAGCCGGCCAGGAGCAGCGCCCGGCGGGGGCTGCCGGGGCCGGCGGGGCCAGGGGCCAGCCTGACCTGGGCCTCGCAGCAGCCGCCCTCCCGCCCCTCCGAGTTGAGATTGTCCTGTGCTTCTATACAGCTTATTCTCTTGACAGCCTTCAGGTTGAGGATCTTTGGAGAGATAAAGGCTGAATTTTGGATATTGGTGTTTTGTAGCATGTTGCTCCTGCGGAGGAAACGCATCGTTCGGAGTTTAGTGAATCTCCACCCGTGAAAACTGTGCTGTTTTCACCAAAACCAAAGCAAGCAATGTCGCCTAAACCACCAATTTAGAAAACAAGCAGGCAATGTAGGCTAAGCCACCAATTTAGAAAAACACAGAACAGTAAACACAGGCAAAAATACTTGGCATGGATAGTTTCAGAAAAAAAGGATACTAAGTATGTAGTATCAAAGACATCAACATCAAATACAGTATACTGAAAATCCCACATTCTTATAAAGGTAAAAACAAATGAAAATCCCATTTGGGTGAAAAACAAGCAAACAGAATCCAGCCAGATTTCCTGCAAAGATTCTTCTATAAAACAAAAGCTGGTAGCCTCCAGATGAACCCTTGCTTAATACAGGACTGCTGACACTGCCCACACAACCCATACTTTCCCCCTTAAGGAGCATCCCACACCTCTGCCACTACTTTGCATGGCACTTGGGCATATTTTCTTCAGCAGGCAGCTGAAGTATTTTTGGCTATCAGTGAAAGATGACTGCGAGGCACACAGCAACCCTGTTATACAGCCTCTCTTTATTTTCAGTTGCCTAAACCTGATACACCCTCCCACATGTAAACTTAGGAATATCTCATTAGAGCTACCTCAGGACATTCTTATACCTTCCAAAGCCTGTAAAGACAACATTCTGCCATGACAGGCACAGAGTAATAAAAAAAGAATTGAAACTAGTTAGTATTGCAAATATTGCTCCATCTAGTCTACTACCAAAATAACATTGAAAACTTGAAGAGAAAGGACAAATTTTTCCAAAAGACTGTCTGAGAGGAATTGTGTCCAACAAAGATGTCACTTCTGCAAGTTGCTCCCTTGCCCACAAAACAGCAATAACAGCTATGCCGTCTTTGAATGTTCTGTCTCAGAAATATTCTACCCACCTGTTCTGGCACAGTTTGTTCCTCTTGGTAGCTGCAGGCTGAGGCCAGACAACGTGTGCAATGCCCACACTAATTGGCTGAGGGGCAGACAAGGTTATCTGATGTGTTAAAAGAGGCTGTGGTATCATTGAGCTGTAGTGGGTGCCCTGGGTAATCATCTTCCTGAGGAAAAGGAAAGGCAGGTTTATACCACAGGTCATTCTCAGCAGCACCCCCAGCCCTTGTGAAATCACAGCCCCTGAGGTGTGGCACAAAAGCAGGACTCACCCCCAGTCTCCAAGCCTCTGTGGGCCAGCCACAGGATCAGAGGCCAGAGATGTAGCTGGAGCTGCCACTGGTGCTACCTGCTGCCATGCAGGAACCAGGATCTGCTGTGTCTGGTTGGACCACGCCTGCTGGGAAGCACAGGAGGTTTTATGGCACAGGCAATTCCCTGGAGTTACACTCACTGCTTGGAGTTCTGCACAGACCAGGAGAGGGACTGCGACAGAACTCTGCATTTCAAAACATTCACTAATTAAATAAGTAAGAGTTTTGCTTTCAAGTAGGCCGACCTGAGAAAGGATTCCTGCTCGAATCTGTAGTGGCTGAATTGCATGGGCTTGGGTCACCAGTGGAACTGCATTATCCACCCTCAGGGAGAAACTGGTGGGTTTGCTGTGGCTTGTAGGAATTCCTTGCAGGGAAAAAAAAACACACAGCCAAGGTTTAGGCAAACAGCAGTCTTGCATGTATTTTCTGAGCAAACATAGAGAAAAATTTTAAAACATTTCACCATTTTTTAAAATGTGTTTATGATCTAATTCCATAATTTAGACTGTCAAGCCAAACAAATTAACACCTAAAAGATTTTTGTGCTGTAACTTATCTGCACAAATATTTGAGCTGTGGTTTCCAGAAAGAACTGCCAATAGCTACTAGTTGGAAACAGACTACTAGAAAGAGGAATGACTTTGGCAGAAACTTCTGCAGAGCTAAGCATTTGCTCTTTATCACAAACTACATTAAAAGAATTTGAAAGGAAGCAGGCAAAAGTAAGCAGAACTGAATGTCAAAGCTTCTCAGAATGGACTCCTCATGCTCTGTATTTCCAGCAGGCTGAAACACATTTCTCTCAGCTTTTATAGCTGGCAATACCACATGTATAATGTCCCTCTTTGCTACCATCTCTTTGGTGGGAAACAATGTAAAATCTTTTATTTCATCAAATACCTGCAGTAAATCCATAACCCCATTCCTGTCTTCCTCAAAATAATGCAAACTATAGCACTGCTCACCAGAACATAACACAAAAAAGATGCATCTCATTCCTTGTATAGATTTCATTATTGTCACAGGAAATTAACACACGTACAGCAATGCTGCAATGCTTACTGCAATAACATTTTTTTACATAATTTATATAAAACTATAATGAAAGAGGATTTTTTCTAAACAGACATTGCAACAGAACAGCCATGCTTGAAGAAAATACTGGCTAGGAAAAGATATCCCTGATCTCATTTTCTAACTGCACTTCATGCCTCGTGCTTTACTCAAAGATTAAACATGAGTGTTCACAGCTAACTACTAAAGAATTACTACACTGAAGTTTATAAGTGCTCTGGCTGGGTTTTTTTTTTAATCTTTACAGTACAGGATGAAACAAAGTTTTCATCTGATGTAATTCTCTCATGTCATAACACAATACTAAGTTAGAACCACGCACTTCAAAGCTTTTTATTTTGAAATGCACTTGACTGATTTTTTTCCCCACAGCCATCTAGAAGAGCAGCATCTTAACTCTGACAGAAGTAGAGAGTTTTAGCACTTCAGATACTCCACAGAGCAGCCAAGCTGGGAAACTTTGAAGCAGTGCCAGATACCATTAATATCCCTTTTCATCTGTGCCAGCAACTCGTCACCTATGTGATGAAAACAATATATCCCCTCCACTTCAGCTGTAGCAGAAATTAAATTTGGAAAGTTATCATCATATTAAGAATACAGTATACAAATCACAGATAAAGTGTCTGCCTGTGCTGTTTCCTTTTCTATAAATCACTTTATTCATCTGGGAATAATGAAAACAATAGTCGTTTTGGAGTATGTCATTGTGTAAAGAACATACATAATTTAAATAATTAACTGCTCAGAAGGAAATCTATGTGAATAGTCAGACCTTTCTTGAATTTCTGGAACCCAAGGTAGATGCAGCTGCTACAAATAATACTACTGATAAAGTCTGCTGTATCTATCTTTATCAACAGAGATTAAGACTTCCTAGGCTTTAAGTTTAGGTTGAATATTTCTGGTTTGTTTCATTTCAGGGTGCCATCTAGTGTGAATTCCAAAACTTTAAAATGCAGCGGGAAAACTAAGGTCATTCTTAAAATAACCTACCCCCTATAAATTCCATAACTTCAAGACCTGATCTCAACACAAAGCTGAACATCACCAAGACAAATAAACTATATCTTTGGAACAAAGACTATAATCAAGCTAAGTTAGTAAGTAAACAATATAAACTGCTTTCCCATTTCCATAAATGACTATTACAAGGATAAGACACTAATATTCCATCTACCCTGTTTCCTCTCCAATTTTATTTCAGAACATCCTCCTTATTGCTTCTCCTTTCACATTTTTTTCTCCTATTTTATCCAAGACATAAATTTATCTGTGTGTGTGTAGTATATGAAGATGGGCTCTGGATTGCTTAAATCATTTTCTGCAGGTGCTGATTTGCTGTTTCTTTCAGAAAGGGGCAGTGTATCTGCATCTGACTCACACGCTGATTTTTAATGACATAATTAAGTTGGGTTTAAATATAAACCTTAAGTGGATATAACAGAAAACTCAAATATTGCTAACAGGCAGGCAGTAACACTCATATTTTAAGAACTGTGACAATTACAGATAAATATACCTTGAATAGCTGGAGGACATATAATCAATGCTTGCTGGAAAACATCACTGCAACCAAACTGAGCAGTTCCTGCCTGCAGTGGAATCCCTTGGTGCAGAACCGAGTGGGCAGATGCAGTTAATGCCTAAGGGAACAAATTCAACACAGGCAAGATTATAATAACTGGGAATCTACATCTCTCACGCATTTGTCCCACCACTTTATATAGTAAATAATGAAAACAAATTATAAAAATGAACATTTCAAAGCCATTTCACAGGAAGCCATCACACTGGGCCACTGGAGGGCACCAGAATACAGCACTGGCAACCCCAGCTTGTAACTTAATTTGAAACATATTCTAAATGATTTGTTTAAGAAAACATTAGGAAAAAACGAGAGTACAAGACAGAAGATTTTGCCACTTAACAGATGCAATTTTTTCAATTATTAAATAAATAAAAAAAAAAAACAACATTAACTGAACTCACAGAAAAAACAAAACAAAATAAAACAAAACCAAACCAAGAAAAACATGAACCATTGTTTTTACCTGACTTCTTACTGGACCAATCTTGGCAAAGCTTGCAGTCAGGTTGGCAGCACTGCCTGAGGCAACTGATCTCATAAGTGATGTTTTATTGCAATTGCTTAAGTCATACAGGTTTGATCGGCATTTGCAAATATCCATTATATGAAAACAGGACTTCACTCTATCAGAACCAGAAAATAAGTTGCTTTAATCACCATTTCATGTCATTAAAGGTGAAAAACAATTCCCCAAAATAAGGGAAAAAAATTAGTTCAGACCCCACATTTCCCAGTTTCACAGAATGGGATCATGCACATAGGTAGAAAACAGATACACTGCTGTTACTATGGCCACATCAAGCCTCTCTGATGCATATTTTAAATTCAAGAAAAATACTGCTGTTTCCTTCTCTTTCCATGTGACACCATTTTCTAACAGCTGTGTACAAACAGAAAAGGAAATTAAATAGATGGAAAAAGCTTGCTCTTTCAGTGAAATGTTTGCAACTTTAGGAAATCCACGGTGAAATATGCAACTCCAGAACTGCAAGAAAACTTTCAATATATTCCACATTAATCAATACATGAAAGGAAGTATCTGAGATGTTAGCCTCAAGAGGAAATGCCTACTCTAGCCCTCAATGACTGACAGGAACTAGGGCTCCTCATACTTCCAAAAATGACACCCAAGTTTCTGCACTGTTGGAATTTTAACAATTATGCATAAAAACAACTTAGACATCTATTGCTGGAACTGTTACTTTCAAAGAAAAACATAATTATTCAAGCAGTTTCCTTGACCCAATAGATGTATCTAATACTGCAAGCACTTGAAAGAATTTTCTAAGACACTGCAAAAACGATGAAAGATTTTTTTTTCTCTCTGATACCAGAAGAAACAACACTTTTATACAAACGAATTGCAACAACAGAGATTTCTATGTTACATACTGGTTGCTATGAGGAAAATCGAGAAGGTGCTTCATGGTAACAAAAGAATGGTTCAGGGTCTCAGCTGGAGTGATTCTTAAATCAGCATCGATAAGCAACATTTTCTTCAACAGACTGACAAATTCTCTCCTATCTGCCTTCTCTGCCAACAGGTCACTTCCTTCCAAATCCATCACCATGTTCACCTGGCACCAAACAAAACAGTCAGATAGAAGATAAGCACATTAGTTTAACTCTTTCTGGTATTGTTTTCTGCTATAAAATACTAAAATTCAGCGCTTTTATCACATGGGGTATGGTGGATTTGTCTTAACCCAAAACAGCTGGCTTGGAATTTGTGACTTTTTTTAGGCATGCACACTATTCCCCCTTGCAACCTCCCCTGTTAAAAACTGCTGAAGGCTTTATTCCAGTCTGGGACTTGGAATTTAAGAAGTAAGATTTCAAATAAAGATCTTTTTATGGTCTAATTCAAACTACAGAGTTGATCCTCAAAAAAAACCAATTTCAAGCACATATTAATGCTAACCTTGCAACAAGATTTGATCCTTTTCTCAGGATGTGAAAGACAACAAAAAATTGCCTTTTCTTATTGACTAGAGAGGTATAAAGCTAAAGAAAAGCGAGGAAATAGTTATGTTTTTAAACGCAAAATTTAAAAAACTACACTTAGAATTATATTGTTAAGGTAATAGAATTATACTGGAAATCAAACAATAAACAAAGCAGGTTCCATATGTATTCTTTGTTTATTCTTTGCCACAGTGGCAGATAAGGTAGAAGGGAAAGTACACATTTTACACAAAACTCAAGGGTTCCCCCACCACAAGGACAAGTTCCACTGTTTAACACAAGCATGGGAAAATAAAGATCTTTATTAAAAGCTCAAAGGGCTGACACAGCCAGACATTTTCCTCAGAGCAGCAGAGAAGAATGAATATGACTGAGACACAAGAAATAATATTCTAAGAGGCATTTCTTTTCAAACCAGTAAAATGTTTTAAAATCACCAGTCATTCTCACATATTCCTTTGCAAATGAAGGAGACTAATACTCACGTGCACTATATCATCCAAACTGTTGAAAATATACTTTCTGGCCTCTTTAGACTTCATACCTGTTTCTGCCTCGTGTTCTTCCAATGTCTCAACAAAAGAAAAGGAAAGCTGAGTTTAAAATCTGTCAAAAAAGGTCACCTATAACTACAAAGTAACTTTATGTATTTATTGACATAAAGAAAACACTAGAAAACACTATTTTTTCCCAAATAATTACTGTATCAGTCATATATTCATATGCTGTTTAAGTGGCTAATTTCATTTTCTAAATCAAAAGACACTAACTACAATGTTTTCCATCTGACAAATCACAATTCTGGATTACAACAGACAGTTTATGAATCACACAGGAAGTGCTGAAAGCCTAGCAAAGAGCAGTTTAATGAAACTTATATTTTTATATATCACAGCTTTTCTATTATTGTATTTTACCAATTTTCTCAAACTCAGACCTAAAACCCCAAGCAGCAGCAATATCACATCACTGTAAAAGAAATAAACAAAAAACCAGGCGGTATCTGTTCAACTTAGTTGTTTTCTCTTTTCTTTTTCTTTATCATTATACTTTTATTCCTCCACATACACAACAAGTGGTGTAAATATTTAAAATAGTTCAGTATGAAACAAAAACATCCTCGAGAATGGATGGTTTATGAGTTGGTATAGTACCTCCTGTTACCATTTTCCTTCTTCAACACAGACAGTACCAGTAGGCCAGTGCTGCAAAGGGCAAGGTGGGACTTCAGAGAAAAAGCTTTTAACACACAGATTGCAGAAAAGCTTCCAAAGTGAATTTTGACAAAAACTGCAAGTAATGAGCAACAGCCCATACCAAAACTCCTAATTAACCTCTGCAAGGTAACAAAGAGCTCCTGGAACTGGGGAGGGCTGTTTGCACCAAGAACTGGCTCTGACACGGAGAAGCCAGATGTAAAGTGTCACCTAAAGCCCAAGTGCTTGAGAAAGCAGAGGGAGGGATTAATCAGGTGTGGGTGTAATTGCAGAAATGTTACATAACCCCAGTGCAGCCCCGGATTTACCAACTTGCTGGGGGGACTTATGCAACTCCTGCTGGGAGCTGGCAGCTGTTTGTTACTGCAGAGATCCCTGTCAGCCCCAAGTGCTGCCTGAGCCCTCTGTAAACCCAGGGAAGTTGGGCCATGAAGCAACACAGTTTTAAAAGAAGTAAATTATTTGGGTAGGAAGCAAAAGTTCTGCTCGTGGCCAGAGTGCAATAATGCTGCTTAGAGAGAAGCAAGGTGCTCAGAACATTAAAGTACATTTTAACTTTGTCTGCACTCACTGTATTGCACCTTTCAGCCAACAAAGGCTGTTTTAGCAGGAGATCTAAAAGAAATGAGCTGTACACAGCCACGTTATTTCTTAATCTCCTTTTTCTCCTAGGAACTTCTGCAGCTAGTTCTGGACAAATGTTGTCAGAGCAGCAGTGGGCCTCAGAGACAAATTTCTGACATGAAGTGAAAAGCAGTAACCGAGCAAAAAAGAGAACAAAACAAAACAAACATATTCATTTAGCACCTCTGGAGATACAAGGCTTAATTTGAATTCCCCACCTGGAAGCCACAAACTGGCCACAGTACAGCCTGGCAGCTGCACCTTGGGGACCAGAAAAAATGGAAGGGATAAAGAGCAGGAGCTGGTAAAAACCACAGGAGATGCACCAGGGACATAATGGTCTTGGAGTGAATCTTGGCTTCTCTGCTCATAGAATATTGTGCTGTTTTCTACTACATTCTCCTGTTTACCTTTAATCTCCAACTAGAATATGGTGCATCCGTTTCTCTACAGAAAAATCTTGCAGTTTTTGTTCCCATGCTTAACAACTGCTCTCCTGGCAAACCTTGAGTCTGTGAAATGTAACGAATCTGAGGAAAAAACACAACAGGGAAAGTAAGTAAGTTACCTCTTGTTTTCAAAACGTGATCCCCACACAGTTAAAAATTTGTAATTTCCTTTGAAAAATGACAAAATGAACCAAGCTCAGAGTTCGACAGCTACATCTTACAGAGGGGAGCAACCTGAGCCTTGACAGTGCTCTCTCCATCTCTAGAGAAAGCCACACAAACAAACCTCTCAAGTGACCTATATAGGCAGGATTTTTAGGTTGGTTCACAGGAACCAGCTGGGGAGAGTGGCTGTCATTACCTCCTCAACCCACTCAAATCCTAAATGTATTTTTTATATTCTAAACAGGAAAATCAGTAGGAGTACTTGGTTTGCTTACAGAACTTGGATGATTTTTTTTTTTTTTGGCCTGTTCTCATTATGTAACTTGATTAAAATTCTTCCCATTTGCTGTTTCCAGTGTATCAGTCTTTTACCCATCTGACACACCTGCATTTCAAGGAAACATTCCATGTGGAAAGGGAGTGCCTGTACAAGCTCCAGGCAGTAAAAGATAGTGCTGTTGTGCAAGAAAAATCTGCTGCTAAGTGCAGTGGGAATGGATTGGCTTTATGCCTGAGAGAAACTTTGCTCTGAAATGATCAAGATGCATTTATTTTAGATGATTTACTATGCATTTTGCATTACCTATCATAGTTGGTGATCAATGGATTACCTAGAAAAGTTAAGTTTCAAGGCTTCAACAGAAATCTGTTGAAACATGATGTGTTTTAACTACTGTGCATGTAATGTCAACTCACTCTACAAGGGGGGAGTTATCCCAGAGGCAGTATTGCTTCCAAAATTAAAAACCACTTTGGAATTGGAACTATAATTGGCAATAATTGAAAACCAAGCTTGTTGCAGGTTGGGATGGAGAGGGTACAGATTCCAGCAGCCAGGGCTGAACTGCTGAGGGGCAGGGTCCCACGCCACAGAAGGGCCTCTTGGCTGAGCCAGTCCTGGAAAAGGAGGAGCAGCCAGGGAATAAGAGAGAAGAAAGGGAAAAATCAAAAGGAGAGAGTGGCCAAATGCACCAAATCAGAAATTGAGAGATGAGAAGATAAAGTCAATGAAAGAGAGAGAACTTCAGAGCTGAGAGTACCTGAGAGGAGAAAAACTGATGGGCAGTAGAGAGTACAAGGAACATGAGAGGCTTCTGCTGAAAAGTAAGTGACAGACCCAAGTGGGGAGGAACTAAACACAATGCTGCCCACTTCTGGGGTTTAGTATTCTCCATAATTTCCTGCCTCAGGGAGAAAGGAGAATCCTACTCTGACCAGGAATGTTTCTAGATCATTTATAATGTCCCCAGAAAACAAAGAGTCTTAAAAAGTGAGGGGAAAAGCCAGTGCATTAATTGAAAAATTCAGCAGTTAAGCACCTGTGCCCGTTTCTAATGAGTATTAAAGCTCACAAGACAGGGCTGTTTTCCACTGAGAAATACAGCTGTTGCTGCTTCTAACCACAAATGGATGTAAGAACTAAGAGCTCCCCTTTCAAGGGCCAGTGTGCTGGCTGCCACAACCAGGGGGACAGGGGGGAAATGCAGCACAAAGCCTGTTTGTTTACTCAGTGACACACACCACGTAGCAGGAGGACAGGAATTCCCTTGGAAGCCTTCTCCTGCTCCTGCTGAACTCATGGATACTGAGAAAAGCCCTGAATCTAATTTCTCCAAAGCAAGTTTTGCAGAGCTGTTGGTGCACAGTTACAAGCCTGATTAAAGCAAGGCAATTCCTGCTGCTGGTGCAGAGGAGGTTGCAGCCCCTCTTCCACCACGACTTCTCCAACATGAGGATCAGGCAAGTTGCTAGATGAGGCTTCCAGCAAACTTGAATGAGGTCAATAAATTTGCTGCGTTCTTGGAAATTTTTGAGAGAGCATTATAGATTCTTAAAAAAAAAAAGCCTTCCCTTTATGCTTAAAAGGGACAGTGAATTATATGGTTTGTTAGATGCTTCCTCTTTTATTTTCCATTTTAACAGCAACAGTCTGCAAAAAGGTCTTCTAAGTGCATCAAAGCATCAACCCACATTCCATTCATAGCTCACTTCCCCATGTGAAACACTGCATTTTGTGTAAATGAAGGAAACCGAAATACAAAACACTACCAACATCAACACAAAATTAATATATCTCCTGAAAATGGTTCTAGCAAACAGATTTTCAGAGAAGTGCAGGAAGCCAAAAGCCGACTCCATGACCAGGACTTGAATAACCTAAAGAGCATCCTCTGAACTAAATGCTGAATCAAAGATCAGAACTTAGCAAGAAGCCAGTGCTGCTCCTTGTGGGGTTTTCAAGAGATTGTTTCACTTGCCAAGTTCAAAACCAGGTGGGCACACTCAGGATGCAGATTACATTCCTCCCAAATTCCACATTATTTTCTAAGTGTTTAAAATAAAAGCGTTCTACATCTTTCATTAGAAACAACGCAGGGTTTTATTAAGTTTGCTCACTAGTGCTGATGGTGTCAGTACTGAAAACTCCAACAAAGCAAGGGCAGAGCTTGAAGAGCTCCAAGCTTTACCCCTGCCTAGCTACAGTGTGATTGTGACAGCTCATTCTTGTTCCTCGTGAAGTACAGGCTCTCAAATCCTTGAACTTTGTTGGATTTCCAGAAAGCATCAGAAAGTATTCAGAGCACAATTAATCCTGACATCTGAATAGACATTTCAGAGTCAACCCTGTTCATGGCAAATGAAAGAGAGATTATAATGCAGTGATGGTAGCTGCAAACTTTGCTTTCCATCAGAAACAGCAGCTTTAATACCAACATCTATTTCGTAAGATGGAGGGGGGAGGACAAATGGAAACTTAATTAAAAAAAAAAATAGCACAATATACAGTCTGGGTCAGAATCAGGATTTATGTTCCCAGGACAATCAATAAGGCTAAACTAAAAACATTGAACAGACTTGAATAAACACTACATAATAGGGGAAATTATTAGCATTTAAAACTCTGGATTTAATGATCTGAAAGTCTTAAGTTGCAGAAAGTGCAGATATGCTTGTGAAATTTATTCTACTACCTGGTCATATTCCAGTGCTCCTGGGTACAGTGGCCATCCAAGAAACAGCTCTGCAATCACACACCCTAACGACCACATGTCTATGGCTTCACAAAACGGCAATCCCAGTATGATCTCTGGTGCTCTGCAAATCAAACACGGTTACTGAAGTTTTTTCCTTGGGGAAGAAAGGTCATTCAACAATCCAACATGACAAATAAAAAAATAAGAAACCAAAATCTGTTTCTTGATAATTATTTCAGTAAAATCACAGCATCAGAAATTGCATTTTTATTTATCTAAGTAGCCTGTGCTAATATATTGCAGCTCCAAGATGTTTTTTTCCTACAAGTACCAGTTTGCTATGCACACGAAAATAACTGATATGCCTGGAAAACAGAATGTCCCTGATTCAGAACTTTTGCCTTTCCTCCAGTATGTCTCAAATGAGTTGTCCACTCAATATCATATGTCTGTAACTATATTCCAAACACTACAGTCTTTTATCTCAAAAAAAGCACCCAACTTTAGAAGTTTTATCTGAAAATCCACTTACACACTTCTCAACTGTACAGTACAGGTAAAGCTATTTAAAATATCAATTTAATTATGTAACTGCAAATTAATATACTCGAATCAAAAGCTGAATGTGATCAATTTTTAAATCACTTAAATGAAAGCACTGCATTTGCTAAACAGAACAGGTGTTATTTTTCACCTAAAACAAATGTGAATTATTTAACCAACACCATCTGAATTTATGTCTGCACTCAAGAACCAGAAAAATTGGTATTGACACAGCTGCTAAAGGGGCTTTTAATATCTCTGTTCACGTGGAATGGAACTCAAGTATTTCACAAGTATCCATTTTCATTGTATTTGTCCTTTTAAAACCTTCCCTCCCAGCTCATTCAAGCTATTAACAAAAGGAAAAAGAATTTATTTGTGTCTGCATTCTAACACGGAAAGACGCCTGGAGATGTAAAATATTATTTCAAGCATCACACTATGAAGGGATATACTTTTAAAGCAGACAATCTTTTGTTTGCTTAGCATGTCACAGAACAACAGGAAGGGTGTTAAAACCAAGAGGGTAATTCCCAATGCAGCTGGGCAGAATGGGAGCATCCAACTGACCAGGAAACGTGGGATCTCTCACCTGGGGAAAAGCTCACAAATGCTTCAGCACATCCTGGCATAGTCTATTGACATTCCACACACAAAACAGGCTCTGATCATAGTAAATACCTGCATATCTCATTCTCCTCTGACATCTACCTTTATCAAAATAGTCTTTAAATTACTGACATGTGCTGGATTGGGAACAAATTCCTATTTTGATGCTACGTTGGGACAGAGAAGCTATCTTGTAGCTGTAGAGCAGCCCAAGAGCTGAAGCATCTCCATCCCTTTTCACAAGGGGAAGTTGGCAGAAGCTCTACACAGACATATTTCAAGCTCCATGGATACACGCTCGCCACCAGGGAAAGGACTCCCAACTCTCTGCCCCATCTCTGACCAGTGAAGCCTTCGAGCTTCTGACACAGAGAAACCCCAACACCTTTTAGATTAAAAAATCTATAGGACAGGATATTCTGTTAAATAATTATGTACTTTCCATTCATGCTGGTACTTCAGTTCTCCCCATCCTTGCTACAAACCATTTTGGATGTGATTATATGAAGGCTAAATCTTGTCACGCTGGCAGTGAAACTGGAGAGGCTCAGTTTTCCACTGCCTCCAAAGATTTGACTGCACTAAACTTCTGGGGATCAAACACACGTATTTTTACAATGCAGGATCCTGACACTGCAGTAAGTCTCAGCTAGTTTTGTTATCCAAGAAATCAATTCAACATCTCTGGATGCCACAAGACAGAAATAGCAGCGAGAAGCGTCTGCCTTTCCCCGCTGGCTGGGTGCCAGTCTGCCTATGGTTGTTACAGATCTCTGTTAAAATACACTTCCTTTTGTTGCATTATGTTACAGCCCTGAATAGTTAATGAATATACACACAGCCTATGGATACAGGGGCTTTAGCAAATGCTTCTGCTAAAATAAGCTCTGTAAAACCACTTAGGTTTACTCGATGGTTAATATGTGTGCAGTGCAAAAATAGCCGCAGTCCGTCGGTCTGTCTGTCTGTCCCTGTGGAGAGACAGGATCCCAAAGGAGAGAAGGATGAGGGTAGATACAATGCCAAAAAAAATAAGAGAGAGAATGCTTGCTGTGTTTCAAAATACAGTATTCTGGTAGATTCTCCACAAAGAAAAGCACTAATAAGTAAGTTGAAGGAAAAGAGAGGTGTTTCAGGAGAGGCAAAGTATTCCTCGCTTGCCAACACCAGACCTGCCATCCAGAAAGAAGAGGAAATAAATGTGCTCCTGAGCACAGCTACCTGCACCATTCCACAGCACAGGGAACAAAACATATTTTCAGGCCAGCTTGAAGAGAGGAAGATGAAAAGTTGCTGCTCTTTCAGGGCCAACATCGCCCACCAATGCCTCATGTCCGTCCTTAAAATGGAGCAACTTTCTCACGGCACATTAAGTTGCAGGAGAACTGTAACTGAGCTTGATTACGTTTGGAGTGGTCTTAACCAGCTCAAATATTTTTGTTAAACGAAAGTTTGTTAATGCCATGCTCAAAAACACCTGCTTCTGTTTCTCCTTCTTTTAAAGCTCCCATTAAAAATCTGTCTGGAGAGAAAAGTTCTGAAGTGGACAGAATCATTTTTCAGTTCTTGTTGTTAAGATGACCCACAGCTGTTTTCTCCTATAAGGAATATTTCACCATGCACCTCAAAAGGAAGATACTCTTTTCCTAACTATATAGCATAGACAGGAGAGTGGTAGGAACTGCAGATGTCCCAACAGTCACTTTAACATCAGATTACTTAAAAAACAGTGTAACTTAGTATTTCTCTCTCTCAAAACAGCACCACACACACACACAGAGACTCCTGCTTGGTTTTTACTGCAGATCACAAGATGTGCAGTGCACCAGAAGATACCACAGTCTTCTGCAAACTTCAGCAAACAGTAACCTGTTATCCCATACCAAGACATCAACAAGAACACCAGAATTTTCCAAACTTCTTAAGGTCACTGAATATTACTTAAATGTACTTAAATTAAAAGCAAGATTTTAGAGAGAAAGCACCTATTCATTCTTATAAGTGTTAATTCAACATTAATTTAAAACATTATCATAAAACAGCACAGTTTAGATTTTATAATTAGAAATGTCTAAAAAGATGAAAGACACAAATTAATACTTGTTTCAGCTGCTTGTTTGGATAGTCACATTTCTATTTATTACATCACAGACCACAAATACATATACTATCCTATAACTTTCTGTAAGCTTATGAGAAAAGAAATCACACAATTCGTTCCATTAAGTTGTTCAAAGACCAGAATATTTTATAAAATAGTTTAGCTTTGCCATGTTAGCCAGCTTGAAATAAAGCAACAAAATAAACAAATTTAAAGAAAAATGAGATCGGTCCTTGATGGAGGATTAAAAAAAAAAAAAATCAAACCTGCAGCATAGTAACAGAAAATTACTTCCAAACCTTACACTGGGGGAACAGAGAATAAAGAGCAAGAATTACCCATACTACAAAAATAAGTCATAAAAAAAATCTGTAAGAAGTCAAACCATTTCAGATGATTATTACCTAGAAACCATTGGTTAGAAGTCCAATTTAGAACAGAAGTTACATGAAAAAGCTAAAACCCAACAGTCGTTGTACAAAGTAACAACTGAAGAACAGCACAAAACAATAAGAACAGCAGCTTCCCAGAACTGCACTTTCATGAAAAATTCAGTTGAATGCAGAAATAATTTCTCAAGTATGTTCCCAATGAAGGTCCCATATCACAGTCACACTACACATACCCCCTCACAGATCAAGAAGTCAGACTAAAGATTGAGCCATTTTTATTTCTACATCCCTGCCAGTGTGGGAGGGTCAGAGTATCATAGCACTGGTTTATTTACCTGCTGCTCTCCAGAGTGGGTAGTTTAGAAATAGCTTTCTTCCCCTCAAACTTTACTACTTCTATTTACCACTGTGTTGACAATGCCTATTGATTACCTACTCTAGATACAACACAATGCCACCATGATAAGAAATACTAATGCAAGGAAGCCATCAAAAGGGTGGGATGTTTATACATTTTTTTTTATTAATGGACCTGTTGAAAGCCCTGGTATGGACCACTCGTGTAAATGAATCCAATTTGCATGAGTTAAAGTCAAACCAGATTACCAGCCTGAATAAAACCAGTCGTTGCCCCTGCAAAGACTGAGGAATAACCACACATGGGTTGTGAGATGTACAATTCTTCTCCTAAAGAAAGGAGGCCTAAAAGAAGGAGCAGATGCAGTAAGTTAATGAGATGGCAATGGGCATTCTGATGAGTTGTCTCACGAACAATTCATTCTCTTCAACTACCAGTCTTTACCATGTACATGAAGGAATGCAAACCTTTCTTCAAGATCTGCAAGAACACAGGAAAGACTCTTGGCTGGAGGGATCAAAATCAAGCTGGCAGCACCCAGAAAAAAACTCCCAGGCAAGTACACTTCAATAATCTGAAGGATGAAATGGGAAGGAACCATGTAATGACAAAACCTGGAAATGATGAAGGATATAAAGATCAGTTGGCTCCGTAGTGGATTCATGGTGGTCTTCAGAAGGAATTTCAAAAATGTAATTAAATCAACACAACAACAGGAAGTAGAGCATACATGGTATATTAGTAAACCACATTGAAAATTAATGTACCATATTCATTAATTAATTATCCAGAAGAAAATTGTGTTATAAATTAACCAACTTTTCAATGAAAAATCTAGACAATTTTACAGATTACTCAAGAAAAATATTTTACAATTGGGAGCATAAATAATCAGGACATCAGTATTTATTTTCAAAGGACAAAGACATGTAAAAAATATTATGCCTTATATAAAACTAGTGATATTCCCTCACCTTGAATAGTGTGTGTTCACTTTTGAATTCTGTGTTCAGTTTTGGTCACCCCCATCTGAAAAAGGATACATCAAATAGAAAAGACGCAGAAAAGAACAATACAAATTAAAGACTTGAAGAGATTCGGGTACAAGAAGAAACCCT